TTTTTTTTTTTTTTTTCAGTACAAAGTTTTATATTATTGTTCGTGTTTTTCCCAAATATGTATTATGTTTTGATTTTTACATGTCAACAGGTCAAAAAACTTACCCTAGGCGCCCAAGCAATGCTGTGAAGTAGCATCTGCACACAAGAAAGTACAGTTAAACCCGAGCCATGCATTATGCGTCCTGATTTTATGGTCTTCGATCGAGAGGATAATATTTATTCATTTTTATGTCGAGTTTTGTTTTTCTTACATGAGCACAGCCGAAAAGGAGGCCCAAAGAAAGCATCTTCTCTTCTCCCATGAGTGGAGTTAATAAGGGCATAACAATCAGCTGAAAGATAACAAAGGCCAAAGCTCATCACACACATACACAATAAATGAAATAAAATATAAAATGAATATGCACATACAAAATGTGCAATGACAATGGCTCCTATATGTGAAATATGATTACCTGTGATATAGTTCCGGCAATTCCGGCAATTATCATCAGGTCTGCAAATTGGTCTTTGTTAAAGTGGAATTGAAACTTCAAGTAGTACTGCACGGTATTCATAGGCCAAAAGAATCTCATCAATTCGTAAATATGTTGAAAAGAAAAAACTACTCAGGCCATTATGAAGTGATATCATCAAACTCTTATAATTTCTCTCTATGCCTTACTGTCCAAACAAAACAAAGACAAAAAAAAAAAAAAAAAAAAAAAAAAAAAAAAAAAAAAAAAAAAAAAAAAAGACACATTGAAAAGAAGGGTACCATCAAAGAAGTGTAGAGTCCAACATCTGCAACATTGATGAAGAATGCTACCACAGCTGCTTTCGAGAAAGTGGGGCTGAAAGACAAAGAAGAATACCATTAGCTTAAGAGGGTGTTCAAAAAACTCTCGTTCGCTTAATGAATGAGCAACATAATGAATCAAAATATTTGATTTTTACCTAGACCGTAACAAGCAAATGGTATCGTCCACAGAAGGCAGAGTTTTGAAAAGACTCGACTTTTTCGAGGGACCCTTTTCTAGAAGACGATCAATTTCTGAGGTTTTCGGGCAAATGCCACTGGACTCTGGAAGAAACACTCGCATATAGAGCAACGCAATAACCGAAATCGCAGCAGCAACCTATACATAGATTAAAATTCCTTTACAAAGTTTTCTCGTATACTAAAAATTTGTATATAACAAAGTGGATGGGAAGTAGTAACAATACTTGAAATGTGGCCGAAGTGGATAGAAAATGAGCCGAGAAATTCCCGAATACGAAAGAAGAAGATGCAAAGCCCGACATGATCCCGAAAACAGCAGCCCGTTTGCCCTCTGGAACATTATCTGCCTATGAATTTTGTTAAAAAGAAAAACAAGAAAAAAAAAAAGATTATTGTGTAGAGTAATTTATTTAGCTAAGATAGTTTGAAGCTTCTAAAAAATAGTGATGCTGAAATTTGCTAGAGAAAAAGGATGTAAAAATTGATATGTAATTACCACATATGCAAGAGCAAGAAACTGAACACTTCCTTCACTTGCCATGGAAATCAGAGTTCTGAGCATATAGTAAGCGTAGAAATAGTATTTTGTCCTGCTGTAGGCCAAAATAACTGTGGCCATATACAATATGCATTAGTTATTTAAACACATTTGTTTTACAGAGAAGTAAAGAAAATAAAAATAAAAAATCATGCTATTAATTTAATTGGATAAATCAATAGGCAGACGAACAAGTTCGATGCAAAAAAAAAAAAAAAGAAAAAAAATCACCACCCAGTAATAATCAATTAATTAGTAGAGTACAATTGCATAGTGCTATAAAAGAATATAAATAAATAAAGTTTTGAAGAGAGATAAATGACTTCACATACGCGTCACGTTGGATAAACCTTTTAAAATTGAGTAATTACAAAAATATTCATCATTCTTTATATTAAAATGACACCCGATTACTTGTGACTTATCCTCATATGTCATCATAATTTTCTAAATTCACATTATTTAATGAATTTAAAAGATAAATTTGTTTAATTGATAAATAAGTTTATTAATTTTTGTTAGTATTAATAGATAACTTTATTGACGGTTGAAATCATCAACTACAATTAATTACGGAACATGAATGGATTAATCGCGGGTTATTTGAGAGTAATGTTATAAGACGAAAACGAAAGGACAAAAAAAGAAAAAAAAA